TGTTCTATTATACTGCAGAGCACGACGAATAATGAAATAATGTAAGCACAGAGCTGAATTTTTTGTTGTAGCTACGAGACAAGAGAATATGAGAGAGAGAGAGAGAGAGAGAGAAGGAAGAGAGAAACACAAAGGAGACGAGAATCGAAAGCGACGAAAAGAGGCGACAAACACGAGGCAGCCACTGGATATTCGTGGGTGCCTGCAGCTCGTACGATAATCGATAAAATTGAATTACGCGCCGCTGAACATCGCGATAGCGGCCGGTCGGTCGGTTCTCACCCCCGGTGTCGCGGAGGTTCTCTTTGTTCGAAACCGACAATCACCGACGGCCCTGTCCGATATATGTATACATATATATATATATATATATATATATATATATATGTATGTATACACATATATTTACCGCGCCTCCTCGATTGACGAGCCTGCGAACGCCGAACCGGCCGAACGCGCCGCGAAAAGGATCGAGGACGCGAACGCGGTGCGGGGAGGCGAGTCCCTAACACAGGATTATCCTCCTCTGCACAATTTTTACCCCGTGGTTCACTTTAATTGAAAAACTTGATGGAGGGACGCACGCACGCACGCACGCACACACATCCCGTGAGATTAAAAAGCATCGTTGGATTCGGCCGTAGGAGGAGCACGAGCGATATCGATTATACGCTCGTCTTCGCATCTAAGCGTGCGCTTATAATTTCCTTGCGTCGCGTCGCGGCGTCGCGTCCGTCGCGTCGGTCGAATCGGCTCGCACGATGAATACGACTTTACTGAATTGTATATAATATCGAGGAGAGGATGTATATCTGGAAAAAAATTATTGGTCGAGAGCTCTTTCGTTCCTTCGGTCAACTATATGAACATGATATAGGTATACTCTTTCTCTCACCGAGCAGGAGTAGCCTGTGGGTGGCACGGTAGACCTGCTTGTCCTTCTGCAGCTGCCTGGTGATGGCATCGGATCGTCTCTTCTGATTTTTGCTTTCATCCTGGCTGTCCTTGTTCTGGCTGCCGAAACACCCCATGACACACCACGGGAAGGATACGGATCGCGGCTCGCCGTTTTTCCCTTCGACGTCTAACGGTCCGGGTCCGGGCCCGTCAGGTTCTCGGGTCGCGTATACGGCGGTGGCGGTGGCGGAATTGAGCGAGAGGTAGGACGATCGGGATACGGATGGGGACGGACGACGACGGATGGGGCCCGCGATCGAGTTGATGGTCGCGAGGGCGACCGTGCGGTCCGTGCAGTCCGTGCGGTCCGTGCGATCGGCGGTCGCGGCGGCGGCGACGACGACGACCTCGTCGTCTTCGTCGTCGTTGTTTACGGCCGCGCCGCCGCTACCGCTACCGCTACCGCTGCGGCTGCGGGTCCGCCGCCGTTCGAAAAGCGCCCCGAATCCCGCCGCCGCGGTACACGCGCTACACTCACTCCCGTTCCGCGAATCCCGCCGTCCCGGTCCGTCCTCCTCCGGTTCCGCCGTTCCGTTCGTCTCGCTTATCGCCTCTCCTCTCCTTTACTTTCACTCACTCACTCACTCACTCACTCACTC